GTACATATGTACCACAACTTTATCACTCATCTAATAATATTATAATAATTACGTATGATGCCAGGTTGGTGCTGGAGATATTGGGAGGAAAACTTTTTAAGGTATATGATTATCTAATCACTATGCTGTACACCTGAAACTAAAACAAAATAATATTGAGTGTAAAGTGTAATTAAAAAATAAAGTTTAAATAGAATAGAAAGACTTGGTGAAAAAATGTTTTTACTCTCTATGTATGATAATATGAATAGAGATCATTCTATATATTAAATTTATATGAAACTTCAAAACATATGAAACTGTGAAGTTTTTCAGAGAGAAAAGCTTATTTCCATGAATTTTTAAAAATACTGTTTGTTTTTTTTGAATGTTTGAAATGTTCAGTCACAATTTCTCAGTAAGTTTTTAACAAAGTTCTCTTGGGAATCACCATTGACTGGAAATGTTGTTGACGACATATTTAAAACCATTTTTATCGTCATTGAAAATGAATAAAATGTAAGATCATATTTAAAACAAAGTTCTTTTCTTTCCTTACAAAAGCAATATAATGTTAAACATGACTATAATGATGTCAATGAATTTCAAATTCAAAGAAAATCTTTATATCAAGTATTAAAAAGGTTTCGTGAAGTTCTAATTTTCAGAATGTACATGCATTGTTAGAGCAGTCTTTCTGCCACAGTCACATCCACCGCAAGTAAAAAAGAGTATCTCAGACTTGTGAAAACAGACGTTTGGAGCCATCACTAGACCCGCTCCCACAAGAGGATCCCATGCTTGAATCTCTCCTCCAGTGCCTTCCTCCCAATACCCTAGGGTTACGGCCTGTCAGTCTTGGACATCTGGAACTCTTCCATTAGCTTCTTGGGCTTCCTGTCCATGATAAATTGTGACATACACTCACTCTCGACACTGAATAGATGTCCAGGTTGTACAGCATGTCCAAAGAAGGAGCGAGGGACGTGCTGTCGGACCTCTCATCTCTGTGATGCCTGCAGCCTCCCAGGCCTCACTCAGTGCCCAAAGGCCAAAGGCAATGAAGATCTCAGGCGTACAACCATACAACTGTAACCCCTCTGGGGCACGCTGCTTGGGCAGCTCAGGACCCAGGGAGATATTTGCTTAGTTACAGTCAGTTAGCTTTCTTAAAATAATTCTAAAGGTAGGAGAGGTAAACATTGTGTCTTTTTCCTATCTGTATATAAACTTAATGTTTTTGCAAATTTAGTATGGCGTTCTACAGTCTCATCGGGAACTAGTTAAAATACCTAAGATGCAAGATAAGACCATTTGTTCCTGGAAACTTAATTGTCAGATTTCCCGAAACATGCCTAAAGTCCTGTGTTTATTATCATTCATTTGATGATTTTCTTCCTTTTGGAAGGGAAAACAAAGTAAAATGAAGAAATGTTGATTTAACTGAAGTAAATATCACTACGATTATATTCCCCTTCCTCAAAAATATTGGTTGCATTGTTGTAAAAGTAAATAAATAAAAGGGAAATATGTTTGTTTGCAAAGTTTCTGTGAGAAAAGAGAGCTTCAAAAGTTATGCTAACTTGCTATTTATTGTTGCTACTAAAGAACATAGAAAGACCTACCCTAACCCCTGTCTTGAATGAGGTAATGGAATCTGGATCACGTATAATCATTGCCTATAATGTTTGCCCTCAGAATAATTCTTAAAAGGTCCTCTCATGGAGATTATGGAATGAGGGGAAAACCCTCTGTCTGCCTTGTCTGAAGACGTGGAGTCCAGGCCTGCTTGTTTATATAGGAAAATACTATTTCATTAAGCAGAGGGCTGAAATTAATGTGACTACAATATTGTTCAGAGTATAACCAAAGGACACCAGAGCACTTTGTTTTCATTGGGCTCTCGGCTGTAGCACCCTATAATTTCCAGCTCACTGCATATCTTAAAATAACCAACCATTTAGATCTAACTTACAGTGTGGAATCCACTTATTTTTAAAGTTCTAATAGTCCACTGAATAGGGTTGTATTAGAAACCTCTCAGCACCAAGAGTTAATATTGAGCAGCAAACTGCATCTTTCATTGATCAAATTTTCTCCACCGCTGTCCATAATGATGTCAGTGGTTGCTTTTTTATATTTGGGAGCAGTGGAATATGGAGAAGACATGAGAAAATGTGTACTTCAGAGACTTATATATATTAGCAGCAATGATAGCCAATGTTTATCAGTGTTTATATGTACCACACAGGTTTCTAAAGGACCTGTATTAGTTGGGTGCATTTAGCTGAAAGCAACAGAAAATAAAACTGAAATTGGCCAAAAAATAAAAAATACCCCCAACTCAAAAAAGCTCTGATAGTTGAGAACATATAAGGTTATCATCATAAACGGGGGTAATTTGAGTGTTGTTTTAATCTAATGTGTTCTTTGTGATTCTGAGCTTCTGTTGGCTCTGGAAAAGAAATAGTTGTAGCAGGTTTGGGCTTCATATAAATATATAACAATATCAAGAGGAAGGAATTGTCTCTTACATACACCCACACAGTCTATTACAACTCTCTCTTCATACTGGTCAGTGTCCATGCTCTACAAACTTTGAAGAGGAGGTAAAGTGTTCTCTGAATCACCTAGGGCTAATTGACTGGAACTTATTCACCTGGCCATGTCTGAAGAAATTTCTGTTATGGAAAAATGCTACATTAGATAGGCTTAAGACTGGGTTCCTAAATTAATTATTGAACTAAGAGAAGAATGGATTAAAATGTTTGGCTCAAAATGATCAGGCCTTACTCCTTAAACTGAGCTAGAGTCAATATTCCGCATTTTATTGTTATTATGCAAAGAGTTGGGGGGGATGGTAGAACGGACATGAAAAGAAAAATCATAATATCAAGAATGACATTTAAAAAAAAGTGACAGTTTACATTTATTATCTCATTTAATCTTCACCAGAACTCTGTGAGGTTGGCACTTTGTGAAATGCCCCTTTTTCTGATCCTTAGTTATGCATGATGTGTAACTCCCATGGTTGAATTGATGTCATGTTTTAACAAAATCTTCTGAAATTTGCTTTTCCATTTTCTCTCCTAATTTATTGTATCCAAGGAATTTAGAAATCATAGCCAAGAAGTGGGAAGTTGGTACTGGTATTCATAGCACACAGTATACACATTCACTTCCTTGTATAGTAGTCCCCTTATCTGACTGGGATGCGTCCAAGACCCCCAGTGGATGCCTGAAAACACAAATTGTACAATGTATATATCTATTTTTCCTATACATACAAACCTATAATAAAGTTTAATTTATAAATTAGGCACAGTAAGAGATTAACAATAACCAATAATAGAACAATTATAACGATATACTATACTAAAAGTTATGTGAATGTGGTCTCTCAAAATATCTTATTTTACTGCAGTCACCTTCTTGTGATGATGTGAGATGATGCAATGCCTATACAATAAGATGAAGTGAGGTGAATGATGTAGCATATGACTTTTTAAATTTCCTTATTGAAAACTTGGACCCTTTCACTTACAGGAAGTACTTTACAGCTTCTCTTTGGCATATCTGAATTGCCAGCATCACTACTCTGGTGTTTTGGAACCATTTGTAAGCAAAATAGGGTGATTTGAGCACAAGCACTGTAATACCTGGACAGTGGCTCTGATAATCAAGGCTACTAAGTGACTCATGGGTGTGTGTGTGTGGGGGGGGGGGGGGCAGTATATACAGCAAAGACAAGGAGAGGGTTCACATCCCAGCCATGTCAGACAGGATGCATGAGATTTCATCATACTACTCAGAATGGCATTCAATTTAAAGTATGTGAAATGTTTATTTATGAAATTTCCCACTTTTATTTTCAGACCGCATTTCACTGCAAGTAACTGAAATCAAGGAAGGCAAGACCACAAAAACAGTGGGAACTACTCTATGTTTTACCTTACGTTATTTCTCTCACTTGAATTTTCCTTTATTCCTTGATTGTTCAGTTTAAGGCCTAAACAAAGTATGGGTCCTTTGTAAAGCCTTCCTAGAACTCTGCTGTCAGACAGAAAGAAACTGTCGTGGGCTTTTGGACAATGAAATTCCTTGGCATTGGCAAATATTTGTTGAATACTTCAATAAGTGAATAATCCAGATGACAGTCCAGAAATGGGTCCTTCCTCCTCTCTCCTCTCTTCCCACAAACATTAGCCATGCATTTGTTTTTGTTACTTGCTTTTAAACGCTATTTCTCTCAATTCGTGTGTGTGTGTGTGTGTGTGTGTGTGAAATGAGAGTCACACACTGAGTTATTCTGCCTTGGAAATCCTGAAAACCAAACAAAACAAAAAATAGTGCAATTTTGCAATTAAATTTTAATTTCCTTTACATTTTAAATAAAGTATTAATCTTTAAGTTTAAAAAAATTTTAAGTAAAAATTCTAAAAAGTATTAATCTTTAAGTTTACTTTTTGTTTCAAGTAACCTGGGCTTCAGTTCTAATAATGTAAGAACAATGTCAAGGTCCAGACTTTTCATAGTGCCCGGCATTCATTAAATTAAATTGGTATATTTATTTACTAAGCTGAATTGAACTAAGATTTTCATTTAATAATATTTTTATCTGTAACAGCATGTCTCTGGTTACCCGACTATGATAAACCTGAACACAGATCCTCTCAGGCAAAATTCAAGAAATTTCTACTAGGGATTGTTGCCAACGCAGAAGGAAGCCTGGAGGCCTCCGTGACTGAGGCACCTCTCACGTGGCTCTGGGAATTTTCTCTAGGACGCGCGGCACTTGCTCTCCCTCCGCTAACAGCAAAGGCCAAAAACAGCCCCGCAGTTTCCCCACTTTTAAGCGCTCAGGAGTACAAGTACCCGGATTAACGCGGAGTTGTCAGATCGACGGCGACTTCGCCCAATAGCGTTGAAGGGAGGCGTATCATTTCACGGACACTCCAATCGGTGCGCTCGGAGTCTCCGTCTCCAGGGTGAAGGCGGAAGTAAGGGCCCTGCGCGCCGCCATGGAGTCGCTCTTGGAGCAGCTGCAGCGCTTCTCTGAGGTTCTGGCGGTCTCCCGCACCACGCACGTCAGCAGCTGGGACCCCGCGACCGTGCGCAGGGCCTTGCAGTGGGCTCGCTACATGCGCCACGTCCACAGGCGCTTTGGCCGCCATGTCCGCATTCGCACGGCACTGGAGAGGCGGCTGCAAAACCAGTGGCAGCAGGAGGACGGCGCTGGGCCTGCCGCAATCCCCGGGCTGACGAACTTCCGGGACTTGGGGCACTGCGACCTCCTGCTGTCTCAGCGCCTGCTGGAGAACCGGGCCCTCGGGGACGCCGCCTTTCGCTGCCTGCTGCAGCAACTCTTTCCCGGCCCTGGCGTCCGGGACGCCGAAGAGGAGACGCTCCGAGACAGCCTGAGGCTGCAAGACAGCCTGGCCCTCCTCTCCCGCCGCCGGGCCGCCGTCCACCTGCTGCACGTCCACGGGTTTGGAGAGAACTCGGCCCTCCGGGACGACTCCCTGGTGAAGACCCAGGCGGCGCTGCTGCTGGAGCGTCTGCAGGAGGCGGGCGAGGCCGACGCAGAGGGCCCCGGCAGGTTGCTCGGCAGCCTGGGGGAGCGCTGGCCTCAGAACAGCTTCCTGGAGGTGATAGCGGCTGCGCTGTTGCTGCCGTCGTCAACTCCCCGCCCCCCCAGAGAGGAGTTGGAACTGGGCAGCCCCAGAACACCGGGAGAGGGGCGTGATGAACTGGTTCACTGGCTTCTGGGGAAGTCGGACATCATGGCAACTTTTTGCCGCAGCCTCCCAGCCGGGCTCTTAACTTCCGTGGCGGGCCGCCATCCAGAGCTTTTCCAGGTCTATCTGGGTCTGCTAACAGACTGGGGTCGACATCTGCACTACGATCTTCAGAAGGGCATTTGGGTTGGAGCTGAGGCCGGAGGTGTGCCCTGGGAGGAATTGTGCGGCAGGTTTCGAAGCCTCTGTCAGGCCCCTTCACCTCTGAAAGATGAAGTTCTAAGTGCCCTGGAGGCCTGCAAGGCACAGGATGGAGATTTTGAAGTCCCTGGTGTCAGCATCTGGACAGACCTGTTGTTAGCTATTGAGAGCGGTGCATGATGTTGCATTTGGGAAAAGACAAGTTTTAGGTCTCAGCCCAGGCCCCAGTTCTCTATGGGCAACGCTCTGCTATTGATTACTTGAATATATGGCTTACAAAATTGAAATTTCAGTGTTCCCACCAAATCTGTACTTCATGTGTCCAAAGTATCATTTTAGGCCCTGATTTATAACAGGTGTAATTATAATATGTAAAGTAATTGGCTTGTGGCGCCATTGATTTTTCTGGATAGAGATGACATTGGAAGTATCCTACTTAAAGCCATGTAATTAAAAATAGTTTGCTTTTTAGAAGGACCATTTCTAATGCTGAAAGGAAATGTACTTTTTGCCCTGGCCAAGTGGCTCAGTTGGTTGGACCGTAGTCCCATACACCAAAAGGTTGTGGGTTTGATTTTGGTCAGGGCACATACCTAGGTTGCAGGTTCAATCCCGGTCCAAGTGTGTGGAAAGCAGCCAATGATGTTTCTCACTTTCCCCCTTCCTCTTAAAAAAAAAAAAAAAAATCCAATAAAAAACTTTTCAAACAAAAAAGTTTTAAGGTGACAAAAACACCATTTTCTATCAGTATGGTTTACTTTGGTAGTTTATTTTTCTTAACTCCCCAGTGGTGAAGAGTTTTCATTAACCAACAACATGTGTTGTCAGAAATCATTTGAAAAACAAACTTCCGTCAATCGTCTATCTAATTTCTACCCCCAGTACTCCTCTGAAATAAGTCCTGTCAAAGTCATCAATTATCTTCATGATGCCAAATTCAAAGGACACTTTTCTGGTACCAAACTATTTGACTTTTCTGCAACTTTAGATGTTTTGACCCCTCTTTTTGAAACAAGGCTTGTTCTCATAACTTACGTGACATTGCTTTATCCTGGTTATCTCTTATATTTCTACATACTTTTTCTCAGTCTGATTTTCTGGCTAACTTCTCTCCTAAACCTTTCTTGGGATTTCTCAGAGTTTAATAGTCTGGTTCCTCTTTTGTGTACACTCATCTCATGATCTCATCCATTTAAATACTACCTATATGCACAATTTATATCTGCCACCTGGAACTCTCATCTGAGCTTCAGGACCAATATCCCTTTCTATGCTCTAATGTTTCCTGGTTTGGCTGATAATTTATATGGTCACCCGTCCATAATATCTCTGCAAGATCACTCCCATGAGTTGGTTTCTCTTTCTTGATTGCATTTCTACAATCCATACTTCACCTAAGGGCTCAAGTAATGGACTCATACTGAGAAATTTGAAGTAATTGGAAGAGAACTTATGCAGATGTTTACCACATCTATGTACACTAACATCTATACACACATAATTCATCTGTGTGCTTTCAGTGATAAGTTATTCCATACTAAGCCAATTCTATAGACTGCAAAATACAGGACTTCCTTCAGTTCTTGGAATAGGCTGAGCTTTTTGCTGTCTTAGATCCTTTACTTTATTCCTTCAGCCACGAATGTTATCACCCAGGACCTTCACTTCTCACTTTAATTTCATTTTCCCACCATAATGCTCCATCTAAATACATCTCACCCTGTATTTTCTTTCAGACCACCCATTTTCCTATGAATTGCATCTTGTTGTTGATGTGTGTGTGTCTTTTCTACTAGACTGTATAAACTCAGTGAGGACAAGACTACCTCTGTTGCTTAATCATCAAACTATACGGACATACCTTAAGTAGTGATTATTATGAATGTATAGTAATGGAGTAAACAAAAGGAATAGGAATGGAGGAAACATTTGATTGGAACATCACCCTTTGGGTCATATCTTTAAGAAATTTAAGTCATTTTAGTAGTAGATAAAAGAAGTATAAATCCAAACCAATAGTGGGGTCCCCAATATATGGCAACATTTCTCAGCTATAACCAATCTGAAAAAAAATCCTCCAACTCTTCTTTCTTGAATTTGAGTTTGATCTACATTTACCAATGTCAAGACTTAGTTGCTGTGTTTCAATTGCCCAGTTTTACTTGATCTTTATAGCTTTTATACATTTTTTGAGCTCTGAAACAGTATACCGAAGCTCTAAAGTAGTAATCAATTATAAATAGAATGGGCCATCTTCTCTAGCAAATTGTGGATTTATATTAACATAAATTAGTTAATGTAAATGCTTCAGGAAGAAATCATTGATTTCTCTTGGGAATTAATTGGAAATGATCAATCACTATATTAAAAGTGTGGCAGTAGCATCATTCATCAGATACTAATTGTAACAGTGGGCTAAGAATGCCCTTTTGGCTTAGAAATAAGATGACCCTAAGGGAAAACAGCTTGAATAATTACAGTAATTAATGTGTATACAACTGTCTCTTGAAACTTCATTACTCTTAATATTGGGATAAAGGTTTGAGTTCAAAAGAGCTTCAGTGTTTTATAGTTTATTGTGTTATCCTTTTATCTCAAATGATCAGGATTTAAATCTTAAAAATTTTTATATGCAGTTAGAAGTATAAGCATAGGGATATAAAATGTGAATACTCAGTTTATAGTTTATATTTATACATATTATACAAATGGTATTATCACTGAATGAAGTCTATAATAATCTCAATATTAGGGATATATTTCAAATTTGGGTTTCATGCAGTACTATTTAAAATACATTTATTCTAAAAATCCTAAAAAAAATTATTATCTCTACAAACAAAGCCTCCTCATTTTATATGCAACCTTTTAGTTTTACATTTCTGTGGCAAATTTTTACTCATTTATTTAATAAGCATTGATCACCTACTTATATGTCAGACTAATTTAATGCTCTAAAAAGTTTACAAACCAATTTATTTAGCTTATATATTTTTACGTTAGGAACCAGATTTCTCATTTCTTAAACTATGTCTGGAAAGCGATATGTGAGGCACAGATATATGTGTAGCTCAATATTGGATATTTTACCCTCCATAATTGTTCAAAGCTCTATGGGATAGCTGTTGAAATATTCATTGTTATACCATGCATCTGACACATTATCAATACTCATTTGGTAAGATACTCAGTTTGAGGCTATGCATATATTTATGAGCATTGATAATATGCCAAAATAGAATAAGAAATTAGCACATTGTTAGCTTTCACTGAATATAGATGCACCACCCATGGACAAAATGGCTAAAAGTTCTTTGCTAATCTAAGACATACTATATACCTTAAAAATATTAACTGAATTTAAATTCACAATGAGTGTTAATATCCAATTTCAAATAATATATCACTAATAAATTGACTATGAAAATGCATAATAGGAAAAACAATGCAGATGATAAATTATTTTATAGTGTTTTCTAGAGAAGAGATCTCATAATTTTGTAATAAATATTCTTGGCAGAAAGGGAGCATGTTTTCTATCTTGTGTTTTTTTTTAAAAGTCGCTTTCATAATCTTTGATAATTTTTAAAAATATTCATTATTTTTACATAAACTTTAATAGGTAAGAGTGAGGATGAGGTTGAGGCACACATTCTCTGGTCTGTTTTTTCAATAAGTGTAAAAACATGTGTTCCTGACACTGCTGGGTTGAAATTGTTGTTGGAAACATAAAATAAATTACAAGTGACTAACAAGAGCAATTACAGAAGATACATGATCTAGTTCACTAGTCAGCAGGTACGGGTTGCATATGGAATGACTATCTTAACCAAAACGAACGGAGAACAGGCGCCATTTTCTAATTACAGCTGGGAGCACTGGACCTTGCCCATTGCACCAGTAAATTGGCCCCAGTAGATTCAAAATGATTTCACTGTTTGTCATTATAGACATTAGCAAAGGCAGGATATTTGAAGAATAGGGTTTCTGCAATTTGTTAAAGGCATTATACCCATTTTTATAGTCTAGTTCTGTGAATGGAATATTACACTTACACTATTACAGTAAAAAGGCATTTATAATTCTATTTAAGAGTTAAGGTTTAAACTGATTTTTTTAATTTTTAGTTTTTATGGTGGGGTTACTAAAGTGTAACTGAGGAGACAAAGAGGGGGAATAAATTAAAAACCTTGTTAAACGGCTATCTTTTAAGACTGATTTTTATCCTATAATACATCTCTGGACAACCTTTGATAAATTATGTCATTGTTCTAAGCTTCTATGTTAGACAATTGGGATAAGAATAACAACTATATCCCTTTAGTAAAACGATTAAGATCAGGAATATTCAAGAACTTTTAGTCATTCTTTAGGATAATCTACTGGTGTCACATTCTCCTAATTTTCCTTCAACAGAGAATGCCTTGATTTTCCCTTCATTCCTGAAGATTAATATAGCTAGATAAAGAATTTAGGGCTGACGACCCTCAGAAGAGGCGATGTTGGGGGGAGGGAAGAGATAAACCACAGAATTTATATGCATGTACGCATAACTGATGGACATAGACAACAAAGCCAGGGATGGGGTGGGGGGGGGGATGGGGAGGAGGGTGTCAATGGGGAAAAAAAGGAGAAACATCTGTTACAAAAACAAAATAAAAATAAAAATAACAAGAATTTAGGGCTGATAGGTCTGTTTATTCAGCATTTAAAAATGTGCCATTTCCTTCTGGCATCCATGGTTTATAATGACAAATCTGTGATTTGAGTAGTTAAGTAAAATGTAATTTTTCTCTTTGCTTTAAGTTTTTTTCCCCTTTGTCTACAGTTTTCAAAAGTTTGATTATTATGTATCTTGGTGTAGATTTCTTTAGGTTTATCCGGTTTTGGATTTGACCAGCTTCTTGAATTTATAGGCTTATGTCTTTGGCCAAATTTGGAAAAATTTCAGCCATTATTTCTTAGAGTATTTTTCAGCTACTTTCTCCTCTCTTTCCTAGAGTCCAGTGACATGATGTTAAACACATTGTTTTATTCCTAGGCCTTTTGACCCATAGAGTTCCATTTAGGTTTAAGTCAATGAGAATATCTGGCAGGAGATTGATGGATGAGTAGAAGCCAATTTATGTCTTCCTGTCTCTCTGCTTTGTGTAACATCTCTAGCAGTAACTATGTGATTCTAGCTCCTAAAGAACTACAGCCATCCCTCGCCACTTCACGCTTCGACTTCTGCAGCTTCACTCTATCGCGGTTTTTTCAAATATATTCATTAAAAAGTTGATCGAGACAGTGAAAATGATACAGCGCGTGCTCGGTTGTCTGAGTCAATTATACACCCCTGTATTACAATTAAAATTAAAACCACTGTACTGTAGGCCTATGTATCCGAGAACCCGAGGAATCCTTCAATGCGAGGTGCAACCGCTAGAGTCTGGAGCAGATTAACTGTGATGAAGGAGGGACGACTGTAGGGCTAGAGTCTCACCTCCCTCCAAGCAGCCCAGGCTCCTGCACTCTGATAAACCACTTCCTTCCTTGTTCCTGGATGGTGGTGGCTTCTTGCTCTCTATA